AAATTTCACATTACGTAGCTCAAATTCCTCCTAAATTCATCTAACCAAGTAGTTGTAAACTTCCATATATATTTTACTACTACTATTACTCAGTCTTCCTATTCATAAGACATTATAATTAATTCAAAAATCACCAACTAATTTTCTGTTTGGGTCAACGAATAAAGTTCATTCTAATTTTAAAGGGGGGTTATACATTCAATTAAAATATTCAAATATCAATCACCTACAATATTTAACTTACTCACTCATTATAACAAAACAAGTAGAATAGCATATCTTAAACAGTACAAATCCCATTAATACTTCTATTATATTACTACTAAAAATTGCCTCACAATAATTCCCCTTCTCAATTAATTTACCAATAATAAAAAATATGAACAAAATTTAACATATCTGAAATTATATTTTTACAGTCATCCACTTCTTTCTTACAGATACCTATATATAAATGTTACCTACATCTCAATATCAAGCTCAGGTTTGCCCCTGAAAGCTATATCATTTTAACTTCTCTTTCTCCATAAGAGTATCTAGCAGCGGAGAAGCTATTGGCATGCAACTAGTGAAATGCATCCCATTACAATAACACCGCATTTCATTTCCTTTTTACATCAGCCATTTATATCAAACAAGCAAATTACACATTAGGCATAACTTTTTGTATCTTTTTCTTCCCCCATCCCTCCATAGCCTTTTTCCTCTTATCATTCTCCTCTAGATGTCGTAAATCCTTGTATTCCTGTTGTTCAATTTCCAACTTGAATTTTCCATGCTCCCTTAAGACCAGCTTTAGTCTTTTAAACACCTTACGCTTCTTTACTCCTTCCGTCATTTTTTCCCCCTGTTGGTTTCCTCTTTTTTCTCTGAAAAGGCTTAACCAGATGTTTTTTTGTCACTCCTGGTTGCAGCTTTTTTTGTTCCTCCAATGAGCTGTTAGAAATATCATCCTCCTTAGTCTCATCCTTTGTGAGCAGAGGCTGAGTAACAGGTAACTCTCTCTCCTGGTTAAGTTCCTGCACTTCCTCCAGCCTCTGTGTTGATTGTAATTGGTCTTTATTATCTTTCACCTCCAGAAACAGAGACTGGTGTCTCCTCAATACATTCTCACATGCTGATTTAAATGCTTTCCCCACTTCTATCAAAATTTTCCGAAGTTTTTCTACAGTCAAATCACCAACTTTTATATCCTGGTCTTTCTCCTCGTTAAGATCCAGCGACTCCATTTCTTCATTCCAACATTTCAACATGCATAAACTTTAAATAAGCACATTCATCGGTTTCCCCATGGTCTTTGTTTTTTAACTTTCTTTTAATACGCTATACACCCAGCTCTTGAGAAATAACAATTCTTTCAACAGAAATAGTAATAGTAACTGTCTCTTACCCCCCATCCAGCTTCATCACTTTCTGTTCCCAAATATATTTTTGCGGCCATTGCTTTTTCTTCAAAAGGGGAATATCCACGGGGGTTATAATCATCAATCTTTCTCCGTTTCAACTTGTCTACATAGAATAAACTCTTCACTGTGATGTGTCAAATCTAATTCAAAAGTAAATATTTTAAAAACGGCTGGCCGCTGTTATGCAAGAACATGGCGACCATGTCCCTGTTCTTCAAACGCTCCCGCTTCAAGGCAAAGCCTGTCTCACCCCCGTCCAGGAAACCAAGCGGAGCCCACCTGGAACCCAGGGGGGCTCCAAAAAGAATGTAAGAGAATCGGGCGGCTCAGGAGCTCCCGGGTGCCGCCCATTACAGCGCCGTACCGGAACCGTGACTCCAATTATCCACATCTTAATCTGACACACAAACTCTTGTGAAGTTCTGTATGAGTGGAGAAGAGAACATGGAGCATGGAGATTCAAGGAAATACGTGACAGTGAAATTGCTGAGACCATAATAGTACTATCTGAGGAAGCTATCCTAAGCAGGTCTACACCAAAGTAAGTCCCATTTTATTCAATGGAGCTGACTCCCAGGAAAGTGTTCTTTGGATTGCAGCCAGTAAAATGGGTTCCATTGTGGAAGCTCTCACCTTCTGTCCACTTTCAGATGTCTCAAGGAAGAAGGAGGGCTTCTAGTATCCTGGCCCCACTGCTGGACCTCCTGATGGCACCTGGTATTTTTGGCCACTGTGTAACAGAGTGTTGGACTGGATGGGCCATTGGCCTGATCCAACATTGGCTTCTCTTATGTTCTTACGTTCTCTTAAGGAGAATTGGAAAATGTAAAGCTTAGCCATCAGCCTTAGAGGAGGATATAACAAGGACAGAACTCAGTTGCTTATGAAACTAGAGTTGGTATGTTGAGATGCTCATAAATGCCTTAAACTAGAAGAGGACTTCTAATATTATTTGAGTGGTACACGGGCAAAATCAAGGAGGCTGTCTTTAATTTTCACAGCTTGCCATAGCAACATGCCTTCATTTGCTAGGAAGAACATAAAATGATCTGTTAGCCACTCAAGACCTCAAGCAGAGGCTTGCTCCCAGTAATCTTTTCCCTCTAGTGAGAACTGTCATTTTTTTTTGGTTTTTTGCCCCCCCCCCCCCCGCATTTCTCAAAAGCTTCTTACCCTGTTTCCCAAATGTTAGTTGAAGAGAGGCTGAGTTTATCACGAAATGTATTAAAGTATGACAGTTCTTAACTCCCAATCACTAATCCCCCGGGAGATATTAATACAGGGGTGGGAAGCCTGTCCAAAGCTCTTATTGAAGATGGCTGCAAAATGTCAGAGCATCCCAAATCCTACTTTGGTTTGAGCTATTAAGGAAACTCTTTGTGATTACTAATGAATAGCATTTGAGCACTTTTCTGGGTGGATTTAGAGATTTCCCTCCTCCCCTCTCTGTTACCGGCACCATCTGTACTGGAGTGGGATATGTGTGTTGTTGTTTTTAAATGCCCAAAGTATGGTTTTTCACCTTACAGTC